ATATAAATTCTGATCTTAATCTTATTTACAAGAATGAGAGGGGATTATGGGGGAAAGAAGGGGAACGTTCCTATTGAGTTTATAACCTATGACCTAAAGGAATATGAGAGAACAAATATGAACAAACTTGACCAACCGACCAAATGTACTTGCTCTGTTGATCGAGTTAGTTATTAAGTTAGGTTGAAATTTGACCTTCCAATCCACATATGGCATCATGATAAATTGATAAGCAATTGCTTAACATAGGGTCAGTTTCGACCGTAACAAAATTACATGTTTTTTTTAATATTTACACACGTGACCACACAACCAAATTTCGTACATGGGTAGGGGACCGGGCTAGGAGTGAGTGTTCTCCGGCCAGTCGGCCATCGTTGAGCTGTCAATTTTATATGTTCAATATTGAATTTTATTATAAAATAAATATATTCACTATAATAAATATATATTTTTAATTTATACTATCCAAATTTTACATAAAATTTTCTTTTATTCTTATTAATTATTTTTATTTAAATATTAAAAAACCATTATCATATTAAAAATAAATAAATTAATTAACAGATAAAAAAAACTAAATTTTAATTATAGAAACTCAAAATCTCCACGTTAAAATATTTTTTTTATAATTATTGACATTATAGATTTAAAATTCGATTGCGGTCTCATTTTCGTTTGCGTTACGTTTATCGCGATTACGGACATAACATGCATTATTGTAGTGATTGCGAGCGTTACGATTATATAATAGTTGTTTTAAACTGTACTGCTACCACTATATAGCAATTGTTATTCTGATAGCATACCGCTATTTAAATATTTGATTGACATGAAAAACAAATCACTTGAAATCATATAATAACCATACAAAGAGAAGATCAATAAAATAAAATAAAATATAGATACAAATAGACCTAACTTCGTTAACAAATGAATCACAAGAAGAGACAAGCTTACATAAAGACCACTGACAATCGCAAATCAAATTCAATTTTGTGAGAAAACTATGTTTGAATGCAAATCGCATATCCAAAGCATGAAAAAATCAATAAGATGATAAATAAACATTATATTGATCACTCGAAATGACATCAAATCTTAACATTAAAAAAATGAAACAAAGAGAAAAATCAAACGACCATTAAAAAAATTGAAAACTTATGATAAAACTTGTTTATTAAAATAAAAATATAAAAAAATATAATATAAAAAATGAAAAAAAACAGTGATTGACGGCCAATACTAGATTAGATTAATATCACCACCAACCAAACAAAGATTAGAAAAAAATAAACAACACGAAATTATGGGAAATTCTACCGTGCAACAGTCTTAATATACGAATAAAGAAATACGCTACCGATTTTATTATCATTTTTTAACAAAACCGGTAAAAAATTACCTAAAACATTATTATTTATACCTAAAACATTAATTTTTTAACATTTCCGGTAAAGTGCATAATAATAACAAAACCGGTAGAAAAAAATAATATTTTAGGTAGCGTTTTACCGGATTTATTAACAAAACTGGTAAAGCGTCCAATAATAACAAAACCGGTAAAAATAATAATGTTTCCGATAATTTTTTATCAGTTTTATTAAAAAATAATAATAAAATCGATAGCATTTTTTCTTAAACGTATATTAAAACTATCACACGAGAGAATTTCTCGAAAATATTTGAATAGGATATTAAATTATTGTTTTTCTATATCTTTTTATTAATTTGTTGTGGCCAAAATTTCCCCTCAAAAGTAGAGGAGATTAATGGTGCAATTTCAGTTTGCGGTTCATTTTGCTTTTTCCCCATTTCCCAGCTGCACGGCTTTATAATCTGCAGATTCTTGGCCCTATTTCACTTGGCAAATTATTGGAAACAACGTATGCTTTACGTCATCGAATTTTGTTAGGGTGAAATAAATTAGTTTTAAAAATTATCCTCATAATAAAAAATATTTAATTAAATATGTTAATTAATAAATAATAATAATAATATCATAATAACTTTATTGTATAAGATCAGTTATTTTTAATAATACGAGATGATTATAAAATAATATATTTATAATTTTTTAAATTAATTGATAATATATACACATATAATAAATACAACTACTCTAACTCAAAACTTTTTTAAAAATAAAATTCTCTTTAATTACCGATATCACTTGTACTTATATACCACGAGGTAGGACTTTCACATAACGTCAGGCTCTTCCCAACCTGTTTACCCATCGCCCTGTTGAGTTTGAAGATGCCATGGACCTACGTTTAACAACATTGCTCAACCAGACTAGATTTGGGCTTTATTTTAAGAAATTTTCGATTTTCTTATTACTCACTCGATTCAAACGAAATTCAAATTAATTTAAAATTGTTGTTGTTATCCTTTAATGTTTCATTTTTAATATTGTGTATGTAGCGATGTATAAATGTTTATTATAAAATGATTAAAAGAAACATATACTACAATATATCCACCCAGATTAATAAAAATATTATTTTAATTACATTCTTTCATTTGTTAATTATTTAAATTTAATATAGAATATATTTAGAATATATAGATTGAATTTTTAAAATGTTAATAATATTACTTGAACACATTGAATTTGCCGTATTAAAAGAAACAAATGATATCGTTTAATTCAACGGCTTTCCATGCTTTAATTATACTTTGCATCCTCTTCATGTGCTCTTCATTGAGTCTGATCGTCCATGGTGAAAGATGTCAGAATATTCCCAGAAGACTGCCTTCTTCTTCTTCTTCTTCATTTACTGCCGGTAAAGCTCAAAGCAAGTCCATCAATGGCGCCATCGAAGAAAAGAACAAGAAAGCTGTGGAGCCAAGACTAAGGGAAGCACCAAAAAGTGTTTCGAATCCCACCCAGAACTGGAATTTGGATCAGTTTCATCTCCGTTTCTTTAATTTTCAAGCTTTACAGCTTTGATTTTTGCATTCTTTCAATTCTTATGTTTGGGAAGGTCTTAAACCTATAGTGTTTGAGTTTAAGTAAAAGATGTAAAGAATTGTATGCACATGAAGAGTTTCAATTAGATTTATTGTGAGGACGGTTTTATTAATTCAGTTTATTCCATTCGTGATAATATTTATAATTTTGATCGAGTTAACGTTTCATTCCATTAAACCAATCAATATTTGAATATTTGCATTTGAATACGAGTAATATAGAAAAAACACAAGACATGTACTGTTGGTTCTTCCCTACGAGGTCATGACTCTTAACTAGTAAGAGCTAAAAGAACGCATGAAACCAAATGGTTTGAATTAATTAAATTGAAGTGTTGGATTTACCCTTGTTTGGTTAATGAGAAAATAAGAGCGTATCAGATGGAAAGTGAAGAACCGCACGATGGGTTGTCAGCTTCTATGTTGTCCATCGTATTGCTTACCCATCCAACTTGCAGGCCTTTACAACCCCAAAACTATCACCATAATATATATATACGATCATGCAACACAGTATAAAACTCTTTTAGTTTTATACAAATTTAGGATCGTTGAATGAGTGAAAATAGATGACTGAGATCAACTGTATGAAATGAGAATATATTCACGAGAAAAAAAAAACAAGTATCTCATCCATATGTTCACTCACTCAACGATCCTAAATCTGTATAAAACTAAAGAGTTTTACATTATATAAGTGGATCCCAGCCCATATATATATAATATTTATATACAAAATTCATTAAACGGTTTCAGTAGTAAGAATAATATTGTTATCTCTTTAGATCTTAAGATCAAGTATATATATATATATATAACGTGTATACGTCCATTGTTTTTTTTGGAATAAATATGGGGTAAAATACAAGACACTGTTTGTTCAAAAATAACTCTCAATCACTTGATAGTAAACATTTATACTCCTGACATTCTTAGTGCTTAAACTCGTGACACCGAGAAATAACAACATTTCCTTTATCACTGAAGTCGTTTGGTTCGTGTTACAGTCATTGTTAATTAATTAAGAAAAATATCAACTATATAATTATATTGAATTCAATTTATTAGACATGTTGGACCAACCACGTTTAATTATGTTTTAAAAATTTTATTTTATATTTGATAATATAATATACAGACATAACTACTTTAATTTATGATCTCTTATGTGTTTGATATATTATAATAAGAACCATATGAACAATGCCGAAATTTCTTTTAATTAAATTTATTTCCCTTTAATATTCAGTGATATAGTCACAACTAAACATGTGCCTATGATTGGAAAACCGAGTCTGAGCTCACAGAATCTCAATCCAACGGCGAAAATTACATTGTACTAAAGTGAAGTCAAGTCACAGTCACCGTACACGTGTAAGTCAAACCAAACTCAAAACCCAAAGTCAAATTTGAGAAACGAGGCACACCCCGCACACATTCACAAATTCTTCTTAACAATAAGCAAATCCTCTGATTTTTCTTAGCATTTCTCTTTGAAAAACTCATCGATCGTGCTCTCCTTTTAGCTTACACCACAGAATCTGATCTGGCTTTTGTTTCTCTTTGCTTCACATTCAGATCATGGTTTCCAATAGATAACCTTTGTGTTCTTTACTGGTTTCACACTTGAAAATCATCGAAAGAAACATAAATAAAAGTAGAAATCCAACTTTTTTTTCTTGGAGCATTTGCGCAATGAGATTCTGAAAAATGGGTTTTGTTCCAAAGATGCAAAGGATTGATCTTTGTTTCAGGGTCAGCTTCATTTCTTTATGGGTGTATTGCTTAATGAGGAGTTAATGCCCTGTTTGGTGGAGTAATTATAGTAGACGGAGAATCTCTATACTTTTGCTTTACTCAATCTTTGATCACTGTAAGTTGAAAGCTTTGAAATTAAGGCTTTTGATTGGATTTGAGGTTTTCCTATCATTGGTTGTTGGTTACTGAAAATTGAAGATTGCATTGTTTATTTTTTGTTGGGTCAAGTGCAGTTTGAAATTAGGTCGATTTTGATTTTTTTGATTTTTTTCTCTCTGTCTAATCGATTTGTGTCTTTTATGAACTCTCTAAATCGAGTTTTTCCTTCTTATGCTTTGATATTTTCCCGGAAAATGTAGGAAACAGGAAGAGAAATTAAACCCAGAAATTTGAATTCCCTATTGTTTTAGAAAGGATAAACCCTGCTGTTTGATGATTCATCTAGGAATTTCTGTTCTGGTTTAGGTGAGTGTTATATATATATATTGCTTGATCTTTCATTTGATTCGGAAAATGGGGTTTGAGATTTTTATTTTTTGGACTGAATTTTTTGATTTTGTCTTTGCAGAAACCTTGTTAAGTTGTTCAAAATTGTGTCTTTGAAGTGGTTGATTTGCTTGCACCATGAGAAGAGGTAGAGGAAAAGTAATGAAGCAGGCTGTTGTTTCGTCTCATGAAGATCCCGGGAGCGGTGACGAAGAAAGAATTCCGGCAAGTAATAGAGGAGGGAGGCTGCAAATCCAATTCAATGATGATATCGAGGAAGGCGAAGCGGAGAAGATTGAAGACGACGGTGAAGATGTAAATGGTTCGGTTCCTATCAAGGGGATGAAAAATCCGCCTGCCAAGGAGAATGGAAGGAAGCGGAATAGGCCTACACAGGCGAAAGAGAATGGGATCGCAACGAAGTTAAGCACCGGTGATTCGATCAAACCTGTTGGATATCGACAAAACGGTAGCAGGCGCAAAAACAAACCTCGACGGGCAGCTGAAGCTGTTGTTGAGTGCAAGTGAAGAGGTTCCGGACAACCATCCCTGAGGATTCCACCTTCTGTTTTCATGTCAAAAGTAGTTCTTGTTTGCTCTTGTATGAGTTTAGTTGTTTCTTTTTGCCATACTTGATTAGTTTGTTGTCGTTTTGGGATTCGATATCACTAATGGATGATTTCGGATCCGAGTTTGTAGATGAGTTTACCAGTGCCTGTCTTGTAACATTCCATGGATTTGGAAACCTGAAGATGTTTATTCAAACAAGACGAGAATGCATGCTCGTTCCAGGATTTTTTCCTGTTTCCATACAAGGAGACTGGTTTGTGAAGAAAATGCAAGTGTAGATCGTTGACCCAAAGCATTGGGCGCTGATGGCATTGGTGAAGGGAAATGCCGGATTCATGCGAGTCACTAAAGGCTCGTCGTATCCGGCTCAACCACCAATGCCCCGTGGTGCAGTCATGAATCCGTATTCGAATGCATCGTGGGATTTAACCGGAACCTTGGAGCCTGTTAGTGCTCAACATTTCGGCAGGCTCTAGTTGCTTCAGCAAAACGGGAGGCAATGCATAGAAATTCAGCAGCAATCCAGGTCGTATGGCACCTCCACACCGCATGTTCACCGGTCGCTCTAAGTTCGTTCCGTTCCTCTTTCCGGTGCGTGCCGACCGGTTTTCGTGCCCATCTCGTGTAGTACTTGTAGTGTTTCGGGCACTGGAGTTTACGTTTTAATCAAATAAACCCAATCCCCTGAATTTGCCATTGCTGCTGCCGGAATCAGTGAGTCAGGCAGGACTAAACAAAGCTTTAGGGGGTGTTTGGATGGGGGAATGTGGGATTCTCATGAGAATGAAATCCACATTTTCCCGTTTGATTAGTCTGGGAATCTTATTATCGGTAATGTAAGATTACCAATAGTGTATTTTTGGAGTATATTACCGGGAATATCATTACCTCTCTTTCTTTAGGTATTGTTGGATTCCCGACCTTTTGGACTAAAATGCCCTTATTTTTTTTAAATATTTTTTTTTCTGTCATTAAATAATAAAAATTCTACGAATATTAAATTACAAATTTATCCTTAAACTATTTTAGATTTACAAAATAGTCTATAATTAAAATTTTATATGAAGCTCAGGGGTTAAAATATAATTTTACCCTTTCATTAAACCTTTTTATATTTTCAATTTTGTAAAAAAAATTATATAAATTTTATGAATTTAATTTTTTTAAAGAAAATATATAAATATTTTCTAACTTGTTAAAAAACAAATATATAATAAGGACAATTTGGTCAAATATACATTCCAATAATCTTTTATTACTTTAACCAAACACGATAATCTTACATTCTTGCTAAGCCAATCAAACACAAAATACAACATTCCCAGTAATCATATTCCCTAGTAATCTTATATTCCCCTTGATAATCTTCCATTCCGTAAACCAAACACAACCTTAATATCAAATTCCTTATGTTTATGCCTTGATAATCATATTCCCCTTGGTAATATTATATTCCCAGTAATGCTTATGCCTGAATATTATTCAAATTCCTCCCCACTCATATATCAAGTGATAATAAATCAAAAGATAATATACTTTAAAATTGGAATATTATGATAATTATTTTATTTATATAAATTATAAATCAAAGTCTGAAAAAATCCAAACTTTAAAAGCCCATGACACCCAACATTTGACCCCTAAACCCTAGAATTGAAATTTAAATATATTTATTTGCTCTATTGTTGATTTGTCGGACGCCATTGAAAGAGCAGGAGCGAGCAGTGCAGAGGAGAAAATGGCGGCAAAACGGAAAATCCCAATCAAGACCCGAAACCCAGATCTAATCCGTGGCGTGGGCAAGTATTCAAGGTCTAAAATGTACCACAAGCGTGGTCTTTGGGCAATCAAAGCCAAAAACGGCGGCGTTTTCCCCCGCCACGATCCCCAGGCCAAGACTCCCGCCGTTGCCGAGAAGCCTCCCAAGTTTTATCCCGCCGATAATGTCAAGAAGCCGCTTCTTAATAAGCGCAAACCCAAACCCACCAAGCTCAGGTTTTTCCTTTAAATGTTATTACTTTGTTTTTTCATACGTAGATCTCTGGAGATATGTTTCTTAATGTTGGTTTTTTTTCCTATTTGTGTTTAGGGCTAGCATTACTCCTGGTACCGTGTTGATTTTGTTGGCTGGTAGATTTATGGGGAAGAGAGTTGTTTTCTTGAAGCAACTCACTTCCGGGCTCCTTTTGGTTACTGGTATTTTCTTTTTCTTTCCCGCTATTGTTTTCATTCCATAGTATTGTTTCTACCATTTGTTTTGGAACATATTTTACTGCAATTACTTGTTTAAGTTTGCCATTGTTATTGTTTTGCCGAATGTTTGTTTGGAAAATTTATTGAAGTGGAACCGGTGCCTATAACTGTAATTTGAAAGCAACTGAAGTTCATGGTTAAACATTAATTGAATGTAAGGATTGGTGTAATTCGAATACCGATTGGATACATGACGATGGTGGTAAAAGCCATCTTATTAACTTTCCGGTATTGTTTTGTCGCTGTATATGTACGCTTATGTTGCTTTGAATCTTAATTTGTACCTAGTGGCTTAGTGTGGCTAGTAATCCTTATTTGTTGTGTTGGCTGTTCATTGTGAGCTTGATTTTGCTTTTATGTTTATTATCTTTTGTTGTTCGATATTTGTCTTTCTTTGCATGAATTTGGGAATTCCCTTTTATTGCAGGACCATTTAAGATCAATGGTGTCCCTCTAAGGCGTGTGAACCAATCATATGCTATTGCTACTTCCACCAAGATCGACATCTCTGAGGTTAATGTAGACAAGTTCGACGACAAGTACTTCACTAAGGAAGTGGTGAAGAAGAAAAAGAAGAATGAGGGAGAGTTTTTCGAAGCTGAAAAGGAGGTTTGTAGTTTTGCATTTATTTTAGTTCAAGCCATACAAATTCCATTAATCTAATTTCATTTCCTGGTTGTCCATCTCTTATAGGACAAAAGGAAACTGCCTGAAGATAAGAAAGAAGACCAGAAAGTTGTTGATGCCTCGTTACTTAAGTCCATCGAGAACGTCCCAGATTTGAAGGCCTACCTTGCCGCTAGATTTTCACTGAAGTCTGGCATGAAACCTCATGAACTTGTTTTCTAGAGGGAATTTTGCACTTAGCTTGGATTTGTAGTGTCAATGGTTTTATCGACAGATTTTTTATGGGGAAAACCAAAATTTTTTGTGTATCATCTTTTGCTTTGTTATGCTGAAAACCTCGAATTTCTTACATGAATTGTTTTGTCTATTTTGTTCTTAATCTGATTCAATATATGTTCTGTTTTGATGTCTATCTTTCTTTTATTGAATTGTTTCCATTTCATAATGTAATTGTTTGTTGAATGGTTCGAAAACTGTAATCAGATCAGGTGCACAAGGTTGTTCGAGCTGAGAACGAAGCTTGAATTCACAACACGAATGTTACATTTTATCTGTCCCAACTTGACCCAGACCTTTTTTTACACTATATGCTCTATTTGAAAAAAAAATCAATCCTATCATATCAGAGTACGTGAAGTTCAGATATTTTTGTCATCTTAAGGAAAACATGGTATAGGCAAGAGAACAATAGATCCATGACAGTACATCTTAATGTGAAACATATTACATATAGTGTTGCAAAGTGCAAAAAGATCCAAAACATTAGTGTTAGAAAAGAGTGAAGCAAATCCAGAAACCAAGTCCTCAGTATTCCTAAAATGGTCTCTTCAAAGAATGAAGGATACAAAGGAACCGTGTGTTACCAATTTTTATATCAGGACCCTTCAGCAAGTATTGAAGGAAAATTTGCCCCAAGAATGCAAACATATCATCAGAGGATGATCAGCCGGGTTCAAGACTTGCACCGAGAGGTGGTTTTCTTATGGTATACAGCATCACCGCATCGACATTAATGTCCGGACCTTGTTTTGCCTTTGAGCTTTCTTAGCACTTGGGGTCCTCTTCATTTTCTGCAACTCCTCCATCACAGCTTTCTCCACTGTGTCAATGGAGTTCAACAGCTTCCTTTGGGGTGTAGTAAGAAGCTCCCCTGCTGATTCATCAGGTTTTTTATTGGCAACATTAAGCAGAATCTTTGACACAGTCTGGATCGGTGGAGGGCGAGGCTTCAATTTAACGGTTGAAGCTGGTGTGGAGAAATTGTGCTCGAGTGAAGCAACCGATGATATGTTTGAGTTAAGAACACTTTCATTTGGGGCACTTGGGGTCTCAAAAACTTGATTTTCACCATCTCCTAACCGAGCTCTCCTCCTTTCAATGGCCTGGTTATTCTCATCAAATTCAGTGAAAATTTCTAATTGTTGCTCGAATTAAGCAACTGTAAAAATAATAATTGAAGTTCAGTGTGAAACGTCATAGGTGTTCTTTCTGTGAAAGCTTTGCCCAACCCACTAATAAAGGGGGTGCGCTAGGATGAACATGAAACAAATGGACTATGGATTGGATGCATCCATGAATGAAAGACAAGTGGACTATGGAAGAATAAGACACCTGATAAAAATTGAAGACGATAAGATGAACATCAAACATATGGACTATGGATGAATCCATGAATGAAGGACAAATGAACTATGGAACAACAAGACACCTGGTCAAAATTGAAGACACTAATATGAACATCAAACAAAGTTCAATGAACTCAAGCCGAGCATCGAATATTAGCTTAAACGTCAATTTTTATGACTCAAAAGAAGGGTTTTCACTAAATGTAAATGGATGGATCAGAACCCAGAAATGAGACAGTAAAATCAGCTCATGAAAGCCAGAGTGAGCATTGTTTATGGTATACTAAATTTAGCAGTTGAATCATCATAATTTCAAGATTCTCTCATTAGCAAAACAAGACATAGCAATTGAACAAATAAACGACATTTCTCTTTTAGTAAAGAAACAGATCAAAAGCGTCCAATAAGATTTCAAACATAAATAAATAAATAAATAAAAGAGAGAAGAGAAGCCGTCAATACCCTTACAACAGCGGTTATGTCCCGGAGAGGAGTTCTTGGATACCAAGAAGGTAATATACTACCCGTACCTCTACCCCTACCACGGCCCAAGGGACCGGGAGTCCCCGGAACATTAGCTCTCGGAGTCCGGCCACGTCTTACACTTCTTGGAGTCCTCAAAGTGCTACCCCGGCGGAACCCTCCTACACGTGCCGTCGAAAGAGTAGCACCGGCAACACCCATTGGCCTACGAGTAACAGGGGAGCCGCCTAAAAGCTCCATCGCTTCTTGCGAGAGGATTCTCAAATGCCCAATCCGTCTTCGAGCAAAGACTTCCGCTAAATCAACGTTTCTCACGAGTCTATCTCTCGACTCAGCCATTGCTTATGGCTTCCAACCCACAAAAATGCAAAAAAGACAAAAATTGGGTATCAAAGAGCTTGCAATAAATGGAGAAAACAAGCAGAAAGGTAAAATGGGTATCAGAAAATTCCCAAGAAAACGGAGAAAAAAGCAAGAAAGAAGAAGAAAAAGAAGGAGAAAATGGATTCTGCTAGTTCAAATTTACAAAAACCACTAACCTTAGAAGAAATGGGCGATTGCTTCAAAAGGGTCTAACGGCGATAAGGCATCTACCGGCGGCAGCAAATATTGAAAGAAAAGCCTTTGGCACTTCGGATTCGAAGATGGCAAATTTGGCAAAATTTTCAAAGTGAAGAAATGGGCGGTCCTATAGCGGCTAGTTTCATTACAGCATAGCGTTTGACACGTGTCACTCAGTTGTTCCATGGCTATGCATTCAAATTTTAGGTTTAGGCGCTCAATGTTTATTCCTATAGTTTTAGGTATAATTCTAGTTTCAATCCCTTTATCATGTTAAAATTTGGTTTTAACTTCTGATTTCTATAATTGAAACCAATTTAATTATTAAATTAATATTTCTAAATTGTAACCAATTTAATTATTAAATTAATATTTCAAACCCAAAACCCCTAGAAAAAATGAATCTCTTTAATCATTAAAATCACTTGATAAATTCACTATTTATATGAAATTTGAAACTTTAATAATTCATTTTATATAAATATGAATATATTTATATTTTCATGTTGTATATTTCTATTGAGTTGATGTTATTTTCCATGTTATTGCATAGGAGATAAGATCCTATTAGAAATGTAAAACTATTTCGTTAGATTTAGAACTGTTGGATGAATGAAAATAGATGTACGAGATTAACAATAAAAAATGAAAATATATTCGCTGGAAAAAAATAACGAGTTAATCTCAGCTATATATTTTCAGTCATTTAACGGTCCTAAATATGTATAAAACTAAAAAGGTTTTAAATTATGTAAATAGATTTTAACTCATTATATGATCGTGTTGTATTCAAAATTTAAACATCTCGCACTCCTTTCTATTTTTATTTTTAAATACTTCATAATCGTGACAGATCTAAAAAATTTGAAAATGTTAAAAAATTTAAAATTATTTTTTGAAAAAATGGGTATACAATTTTTTTATTCTCCTTACCACGCTAAATTAAATTTAGCAATTTCTCTAAAATAATGGGGTACATATGTTTCCCTTGAGGACAATATACATCCACCCTTGTGTCACGGGCCGTGATACTTGGGTCCGAGAGCCTTGAGGGTTTGATTCCAACCTTGGTGAGTTTGCATGCTCACTAGGCTTGGGTAAAACTTACTTAGTCGTAGAAAAGACCAGAAGTATCAATAAGCTTCTAAGGATGTACGTCCCGTCAGACTTTAACTCTGATATTGCAACAGTTTGTGCTTGAAAGTTCTTAGGGCGTGACACTTGCTTCATAAATTCTTATTTTTTTGATGTAAAGTAATTTAATCTCTTATAGCATTGGATCCCAATTTTCTCGTAGATTATATGAACTTAAAGTTTCATTGTGTTTGAAGAGACTAGAAATCATAGTTTCCTTCTTTGGGGAACCAAGGCTATTGCTTACCCTTCTAATATTCAAAATGAACCAAAAAAAATTTAAAAACATATATTTATCAATCTTAATTGATTCACACATGAATCGTAGGATTTTACACTTATTTTTGGACCGACTCGAATTTCACATCTTTGGCTAATTTAAGGCTAACCCACCATAAATAAGAAAAAACCCTAAATGATTTTAGTAGAAAATTATGCAATCCGGAGAGAGAGAGAGAGAGAAATGGAAGTTGAAACATAAGTTCAGGACATGTCAAGGGAATTGGCCACAAATGGAATCTACTGATAAGGTGGGGATTTTGTACCATGAGAGTCCCTGCAAATTCATTCATCTCTTCAAATGTTGCCTTTACTCGATTCGTCTCCTACATCACTTTAATGCCCATACAAACAAAAACCCTAATCTCTTTAATGCCAATGCCTAAATGTAGACTAATGGAGGCCACTCTCTGTGCCTTGCTGAATCCTAAAGGAAGGTCTTGGTTTAATTTAATGTACCCCAAAGATGTAAGCCTCCATTAATGGATATCTACACTGAGCTACTATGGGACAATGTTAAAATCCCATCAAAGGTTAAATTAAGTTTTCGATAATATACAAGAACATATTTGTTCATAAATTTTCTTAAGCTATTAACAATGTATATATATCATGTAGACACATTACTTAAACTCGAATCAAAATAATATATATATTTTTAATCATTAAGACTGATCAATAATTTATATATATTTAAGATGCTCTATGGGACCCTACCCTTGATAGGTCTTCTACAATGAGCATATGAATAAAGGTTAAAAAGAGAGGTGGAAAAGGAGCACCCCACCAATTATGAACTATTCATGTGTCAACCACCATTCCATCATGAGCTATAGGGCTGGATGAAGCTTCTGGAGAGGTGATAAGCTTGTGTGCTTCGGCATTGTCGGTTTGACATTGTATCTTCTCGAAGCCATACAACCAGGCGAGGGCGAAGCCATCATGAATGGCCCAAAGCTTTGTTTCGAGGATGGTAGAAGGACCAACAAGCTTATTAAAGCCAACAAGGAGCCGACCTTCATTGCAGCGGATGAGTCCACCGATCGTTCCCACGGTAGTCGAGCAGTTGAGGGCACCACCAGTGTTAAGGGTCACCCAACTCTCTTCAATAGCTTTCCATTGTATGACTTCATGTTATAAATAAATGTAAGAGAAGGGTGGGTCATAAAAAACAGTGTCCAATATTAGAAGTTTCACTTAAAAAATATTTCCTTAAACTATTCATTGGTTCAGTCTCATTGGGATTCATTCTTGTATTTGACATTAAAATTTTGAAATTTAACATATTATATTTATTTAATTAAGAAAATATATATTGGTTATACCTAGTATACTTTTTAATTAATTTTATTAAAAGAATTAACATTATCTTATTTTAGAGATTTTCTTAAAGTTTTGAGGTAAATATGACGAGTGAATGTAGAAGAATATATCTGTATTTTATTTTTTTTAAGTGAAATCAAATTTATGAAATTTGATTCAGGTAGAATTGATATATTTATTCGAGTTTATGTTTAAATTTAAATGTAATTATTTATAATATGATGGTACTTATTAATTTTAATTTAAATGGCTCTCTCTAATCATATACATACATACACACACAATTTTTAACATGTGGGAGTAAGACTAGTAATGTTATAAATCAAATAAGTTTTAAAATTATGGAGTATAATATACCTATAATGTGATTTTTAAAAGAATTTATTTTGAGAAAAAATATTTATGGAAGTATAAAACAATTGAATAATTAATAAAAAGATATAATTTGAAAATAGTTGTAGTATGAGGACTAAATTAAATAAAATGAAAAGTTAAGAGACTAAATAAAGTTTCATAGGTATTCTATACTAATAAAGGAACATGTGATTCAAATTTACCTATAATTATTTCTTTATTAGTTTGAGCACGAACAGAGTTAGAATAACAGTTTAAGGGGACAAAGTATAATTAATTATAAAAATAATAAGAATAAAATATAATTAATTATAAAAAATAGATATTAAAAAAAATAAATTCAACATTTATTCATGTATATATGACGAGTGAATAATTATTTATTTATGATGATTTAATGTAATATTTATAATTATTTGATATCATGTTAAATTGAACCGCACCCCATAAACTTTCTTTCACTCTCAACGAACTGTACAGTTGGAGCTGTACATTTTAATAATTCAGTTCGAGGCTGAGACCCCCACTTTCGTCTTTCTCTTTCATTCTCTCTAAATTTAGATATTAAGAAACAAAAACATTTTGAAATCTTTTCCCCTGTTTATTGTTAAACCAGACAATCCCTGCTGCGTTGCTTTCCTTATACTTCAAATGGTTCAGAACTTCATCTCTCAATGACAATTAACTCTTTTTTGTTAGCTTGACCCGACCGCCATTGATGAAGCTTATCAAAGCTTTAAAAATCTTCTGAAGCTGTTGAGACTTAAATTTGGGTTGAATTAACCAAGTGGGTGTTTTTTATTTTCAAGGAATCGAACTGGGTACTTTTTAGAGTTTCGAATTTGGGTCGTTTTGCTGTTGTTGTTGTTCTTCTTCATTCCGCCATGGAGTTAAACGCGGGGGCGGCTGGAACTGGACCGCATAAGACGGCTTCGGAGAGGGACGAAGTGGCGGCACTCGAATCGCTGCAATTTACCGACGAAATCCGCCGTTTGATGTCGGCTCCGGCGACCGATAACGCGAGTTCCTTCACGGCTCTGCTTGAACTTCCGGCTCCCCAAGCCGTTCAGCTCATTCACTCACCGGACTCGGCTAAGCTTACTGCTGCTCCAGCTCCGGCTCCGAACGTTGATGATTTCAAAGGCAGCTTTCATTATCCTTTTAATAGTGGGTTAATCGAACGAGCGGCGAGGTTCTCTGTGTTCACCGGAGATGGTAACATCAACGAAGATAACAAAAGCAACTCGCCTGAACCGACGTCGTACAATTCAAGCGCCAGTCTCCAGAAACCGGTGAAGAGTGAGCCGGCGGAGACCGAGTCATCTCAGCCGTTAGTTTCTGATCCAACGGTGGAGAACCGGCGTAACAAGAGAAAAGACCGAGAAAAGGTGAAAAATTATGATATCAGCTTTTTGGGTGTTTCCATTTTTGGTAAATTTTGATCAAATTAGCTGATAAATTTGTTTTTTGAGATTTTCAGGTGAAAGGGTCGACAAAGAAAAGCAAAACCGCGGCGAAAGAGAGCTCCGACGATGCTGAGAAGTTGCCTTACGTTCACGTTAGAGCTCGCCGGGGACAAGCCACGGATAGCCATAGCTTGGCTGAGAGAGTAATTCACTAATTTTGATGATTGGATCCTTAATCAGTTTGCTTGTTAGTATTAGTTTATTTGTCTTTATGAAGCTAATAATATTTGTTTTTAGGCAAGGAGAGAGAAGATTAATGCACGTATGAAGCTCCTACAGGAGTTGGTACCCGGATGCGGTAAGGTCAGTTCACTGGGATTATTAGGTTCGTTAATGATTTGATTATGATTATGACTATGATTATGTGATTAAGCTAGGAATATCTGTTTAAATGGGTACACAAAAAGTGGATTACATCTTCAGATTATATTTCTTTAGTAATGGTTTATGTACTTTGTCACCTTTTTGCACAAAAGCGGGTTACTTTTTGCAACAACAAAAAAGCTCAGCTGGTGTACCATGGCACTTTGATAATTTTAATGCTTTAGCCCTTCTTCCTTTCTTTGCTGTTTTAGATTTTATAGCTCTGATCTAATCTTTCCGAATTGATGTCTCGGGCGTTGAATTATCTTCGGAAAGGATAGGTATTGGTAAAACGAAAGGAAATTTTTAGTTAGGTGGAATGCTAGCTGGATATTACCATGAAGTGTTTTATGAACTTGTCCGGTGGCTTGCTTGATTAGATGTCTTCATGGGGTATCGGGGTCCCATTTCATTGATGTACAACAGTTGCCAACTTCTCTTGCAAGTTAGGCATCCATACTCTTATGGGATAACAAGATAAAAGATCACAAAAGGAAATGCCTTTTATATGCCAAATGGTAGCCTAACTATACGAGTACATGATGTGATAGTGCATGGGAAATTAGTTTAATTGTGCCAAACTTAATCTTGATCATACCTTAATCGTTGAGAAGACGTTTTCGACAATTGAAAATGGGGTCCAAGTCATTTTCTTCAAGATGTGACCACAATTCAGTGTAAATTAGATGATCAGAGCTGTAGATAACCTTTCCTTTCTAGGACCACATGTCATGATCTCCTCATAATTTGAAAAGGATCGGCGATGCCTAACCGTTAAAAAGAATATTATTGATGTTAATGACTTACAGTCAATCCCTTGGGAGACTGGAAATCTATTGCTTCTGGATAGGTTAATGTTTATGTTTCGAGGAAATCACTTTGGAACTCATCTATCTGCGTGCCATGAATATGTATTCAAGTTAAACTTGTATGGCTATTGGGAAAGTTCAACTTTTCAAACAATCTGATGTTGACTTGTAGTTTGAATTTCATTATAGAATCATTGAATTCACATAGGACCTTTTCTGATTTGCGGACGAAATACCATGTGCTGCAGATCTCGGGCATGGCGTTAGTGTTGGATGAAATCATCAATCATGTGCAGTCCCTACAGCGTCAAGTGGAGGTGAGATGTTACTCTGTAGTAAGGGTCTTGTTATGGAGATTTTCCGTCTTCTGCAACCCTCACATCGTTGATTTTTCTCTTGGTTCTTATTGTGAACATCCCAATAGGCTGGCATGTTTCGTTTTGCGCTTTATGCTTTGGTTTCGACACAGTATCTTCCACTCCCTCGGTCTGAATCTACTTATCATGTTTCGTTGGTTGCAGTTCTTATCAATGAGACTCGCTGCAGTTAACCCGGGAATTGATTTCAACCTCGATAGCGTATTCACAGCAGAAGCAAGTATCAACACCTTTTTCATATGTTTCTAGTCTAGAGTCAGAACTTGAAAGCACTTTCCACAAATCTTCCATTTCACGTGACAAATAGCTCTGCAAAACTATGTTGCTCTAACTCTTCATTTTCTTGAATCGGTTATGTGGTTGTTCGTCGAGTTTATCTTCTGAATGAAACACGATAATTATTGATTTGGATTACTCGAAGACTTGAACTGACATGTTTGATCATCTTTTAATGTGTAGAATGGATCTTTAATGGACAGTAACTTCCCCGGCATGGTCATGCCTATGATGTGGCCCGAGGTTCAACTCAACGGAAACAGACAACAGTATCCACCGCAACTGCATTTCAATGCATTGCAACAGTCTGTTTGGGGAAAAGAGGAAGTCTGCAATAATTACATAACTCCGGAGAACTCGCTTTTAAGCTACGACTCCTCAGGAAATTCAGGTAGAAAAGAAACAAACTTTATTTGCTCCATAAACTATCATCATTCTTATAATGCCAAGTAACTTGTGAACGAGACTTTGTTTTATATCACGATTTTGTTGCAGCACCGTTGCATTCGAATCGATTGAAAATGGAGCTATGAAGCGCGAAAGAAGCTTGAAACAGTTAGATTTATGATCGTTCTACTGATAGCTACCATTGTATATATACTATACTATATCAAATATTAGAAATTAGTAGGGAATAGAGGAGAGGCCTCACCATATACTCTTTTGGTTTCCATGTGGTTTGTTTAGCTGAGTCAGATGGAAACCTCCTATTTCTCAGGACCGGAGACGAGAAACGTCGGTATGCTGTTATTAAATATATATGTTATGCTAACTTGGAGTCATTCAATCGAATACTTGGATTGAGGTTGATTGATTCATACTTTAAAATCACAGAACGAACTATGATGATTCAAACTATTATGGAAATCTGCCTTCTTTTGTTCTATATTTTACCGTCATCTTCTTTCATTGATAAACTTCACTTGTTGGTTTGCTACCCAAGTTGATATGTTAGTTTGATATTGATAACTATTATGGAAAACAATGCTAAACTGCTGCCCAAAATTAAGAGGGCCTAAAAAACAATTTTACCCCAAATTTAACCCCTTTATTTATTATATCATAATGTTCGATTACCGAGATAAAGACTAGGGATGGGCATGGGATCTGACCCGATCGGGTCAAGTTTTTTTTTAAAATTCGGATTCAGGTCGGGTCGGATTTTTTAAAGGTGATGTTTGGGTCGGGTTCGGGTTCATGATGAAAAATACCTGACTCGATTTGACTCGAAAAAATATAATTTTATCTTATATTTTTAAGAATAATTGCAATAATACCCTTCCATATATTAATTTTTTTTCAATTAAATCACTCTTTTATTGAATAAAAAAATATTTTTATTATTTCGGATTGGGTCGGGTTCGGATTTTATCTAAAAAAGTCGGGTCGGGTTCAGGTTGGGTGGAGGGTATATATTTTTCGGATCGAATGAATGATGTAAAACTTTCGGATCGGATCGGGTCTGCCGAAACCTGAACCATGCCCATCCCTAAATTAAAGACATTGAAAGCTGCCCAAAATTTTAAAAGAGACCACCCTTAATTAAATCTTCTGTATTTTTTAATCTGAAAATTAAAAAAAGAAAGAGAGAGAATGACAATTACAACATTGATTAAGATGCTGCTTCCATTGTCTTTTTATTCGAAGTTAATTTTGTTTGAATAATTATGTTATACAATAAGACAGCAGTTTCCATTACCGTTTTAGGGTAAACTACATAAGATAACATTGAACTTTAGGTAATGTATCGTTTATACCATTAGATTTTCAATTACTCTAATTATAGCATTGAGTTTTGGTTTTGACTTCAATTATACCGTTAGACTGGTAAAATTCAAACGATGCGAGGACAAAGATAAAAAGACATCGTTTTGGTGTGATTATTGACACAAAAAAAGGTGGTTTAGATATTAATTTTTAGGTACATATCGATTTTGGTTTGGATGTTGTTCTAGTTTATAGTTGGGAGGAAGAATCGGTTGTTAGCAAGTTCGACTTTCTGTGAACACACTTAGTGACGGTCCACTAAGAGAAATTGAGACAGGGCTCGATTCTCATTGAGACAACATGGTCCGAGTCAGGTTTTTCCAAAACTTTAAAGCTGGGCTAGTGCTGACGACGATAGTCGTGGTTAGTCCACACAAGGATCGGAATCCAAAATAGCTTTTAGATTATCAGTTTACAAGAGAGAGAAACAAGTTATAGGGGTTGAGTCTTGTAGACTATAACAGACAGATAAACGAAGTGAATATATTCTGATGATCAGATGGAATTGAGGTAAAACTGAAGTATGAGGTTGTTTTTACAAAAGTTTTCTTATCTCAATTTATTTTAACCTCTTAAACGTGGATTTGATGTCCAATTTTTCCCACAACAAAGATAAATTTTATTAATAAATGCAATATCGGCTCAAAGGCGAAAATTTTGCCCATAGTTTTTTTTTTGAAAAGGGACGTTATGTATATTATTAGAAGTTTTAGCTGACCCTATTCCCATATGTAATGGGATAAAGGGGAGGTAGGGTAGTAGGCTGCCCCCAACACCAGGTTGAGAGCAGCTTCCGTGTAAGACCTCCGGCAGTCAGAATTATGAATTGCCCACCATGAGACTCGATCCCACGACCACAAGGTTTAAAATAGCTAAACAAACACAACAAAACAAAGAATTAGGATCTCGATAAAAAACCTCTTTAAACCTAAGTAGAGGAAAAAGAGTACCCGACACCAGTGCCATTATAACATACAACTCACTAACGAACCAGCAAAAACAAGCTGTTACAAAAGAACCATAAAAAAAATCACCAAAATCAACCAGCAAAAATTTGCCCTTAGTTGCTTCAAAGAAGCTTCTATAAACCCTAAACACGACGACTAAATTAATTTCTTCAATTTCTAAGTGCCCTTTTCCACAAAGCAATCATAATTCAGAATACCTTAATAAAATGGAGTATGAAATTACTGCATTACCTGGAAGATGAGATTGCAGATTCGAAGAAATTACGAGAATGTCCAGAGAATCCGAAGAACATGTCACGAACCAACCCAACAGAAACTTACAGCAAGTTGGTGATTGAAGACAGCTGCTTTGGCCACCAAATTCGACCCTTTCTTCTCATTTTTCAATCCATTAAATAACAAACAACTTGTTAATTGTCTGCATGGAAATTATGGATTTGATTATAATATAGATTTAGATATTTCTTGTTTTTTTTAAATAATATTAATGATAAATTTATTATTATGAATTAATTTTAAAGAAAGTCGAAGGGTTATAAGTTTGATATGTGGAGTTTTTTTGATGAAACAAACGTTAGATTTAGGTTCAGGAGATTGAAAATGAGTGAACTAGAAATTTTAGGGCCCAATGGTCATTGGTAGTTGACAATTAGCGACGACCGTATGTAGGGGACGTTGGTAAGATTCGTGGGTTCAATTAGTATTTTATCTAAAGTTTAAGGGTTAAATTGATATTTTATCTCATGTTTAGGATGGGTAAATTACATAGATCATCATGAACTGTACTTTCTCTCCTATTTAACTCATCTTACTTTCAATTTTTTCAGTTTGCTCACTTTACTTTATACATTGGAAAAATTTGGTCACTATATTGTTATCTATCTAATATTGTTAACGCCAACCACCGTTGACCACCGTAGATGGTGGTCGTTTGGTCTCAAATTTCATGGATCACTTCACCTCGACCCCCTGATTCATAATCTGGTGGTTATTTTACCGGAAAATATCCCAAACCCCGTGAATATGGATTGAAACGTTCCGGCTTCCTCACTTTCAATAAAAAAATCGTGGACTTCGGAGCAAGTTCCTATAAAATGGAGATCGGTTTCGGGCTCACGGTGTCGAGGTGAAGTGACCCATGAAATTTGAGACCGAATGACCACCATCTACGGTGGTCGATGGTGGTCTGCTTTAACGACATTAGAGAGATAATGGCTGAGTAACCAAAATTTTTCAATGTATAAAGTTCAGTTAGCAATTTAGAAAAATTGAAAGTACAGTGAGCAAAATAGGAGACATAGTAAAGTACAGTGATGAACTGTGTAATTTAGCCTTAAATAAAAATTGGAAAATTTACACAACTTGTTGTTTTTTTATTCATTTTTTATTTAAAAAATTCCAAAAAGGAATAAAAATTCTAAAGAAACAAAATAGTACAAAGCCAACCAGAATTGAAAAACTTTTCTAGTCCTCTCACGTTCATACTTTTTTGTTTCTTTTTATTATATATATGCTTGAAGTCTAAATTTCTATAAAAATAAAAGATGTAAACATTAAGTACTAACTATATTATTATATCAATTATTTAACTGATTTGAGTATGAAAAGTGTAATCTTTTTAATAGTCTAGTGACTGTGGGTGTAGTTTACCCAAAATAAAATAGCAAACTTTGTGCTTAACTGATACTAATGGCTAACCATTGAAAGCTTTTATGTCGTCTTCTAAGGCCAAAGGGCCTACTTTCTGCAACTATTAGTCTATTACAAGTGGAGGAACACCCCACGTTCCGTAGGTGATGAAATGTATTATATATACCTATGGACACCGGCACTTCATCTCTTCAAATCACTTCCAAACACTTTGCCTTTAGTTTCAGTTCGAAGCAGCAACTTCATCTTCTTCAATGCAGAATCAATTATTTATGACATCATCACCAAATTGAGCTCCCCTCTTGTGCAGCAACTTGGCTTGTGGTGGAATTTCAAAGACGACCTTGAGGACCTCGAAAGCATTGTGTCTGCAATCAAAACTGTGCTTCTTGACGCCGAAGAGCGATCTACAAGTAACATTCCTGTCAAGCACTTCCTTGAAAAGCTGAAAGATGCGCTTTATGATGCCGATGACCTTTTGGATGATATCCATACTGAAGCTTTGAGGAAAGATCTGCTGAGTGGGAACAAGCTGACGAAAGAGGTACGCGTTTTCTTTTCAAGCTCAAACCAGGTTACTTATGGTCTCAAAATGGGAAGTAAAATCAAGGCCATTAAGGCCAGTTTAAGTACCATTCAAAATCAGACCAAGTTGTTAAAATTAGTACCGCGTGAGTATCCTATGGAGACGCCTTTCATGGCCAAAAGGAGGCAGCAGACGCACTCTTTTGTGCCTAAAGATAAAATAATAGGGAGGGACGATGATAAAGCAGCTCTTCTGAAACTCTTATTAGAGTTTGACAGTGAAGAGAATGTTCATATCACTCCAATCGTGGGGTTCGGAGGGTTAGGCAAGACTGCATTGGCACAGTTGATCTATAATGATGAAATGGTTAAAAATCAGTTTAAGTTGAGGATGTGGGTATGTGTCTCAGATGTTTTTGATGTGAAAACAATAGTTGCAAACATTATTAAATCTGTGACTAACCATGCACCAGATCAAAATCTCGAAATGGATCAACTGCAGAAACAACTTCGAGGTGAAATTAATAGGAGAAAATATTTGCTTGTTTTGGATGACATTTGGAACGAGGACAGGGAACGATGGGTTAGCTTAAAGAATTTACTGATAGGTGGGGATAAAGGAAGTAGGATAATAATAACTACTCGCTCTCACAAGGTAGCAAAGTTAACTAGTAAATGCCAACCCCATGTTCTTAAAGGCTTGTCTGAAGATGATTCTTGGTCGTTGTTCAAAGATATAGCATTTGAGCAAAGATCTGCAGACTTGACAAATTCAGGCTTTGTGGAGATAGGAAAGCAGATTTCAGAAATGTGTCGTGGAGTTCCTTTAGTCATAAAGACTATAGCTGGTACCTTATCTTTTATAGAAACCCAGAATGAGTGGCTTTCTTTTAAAGATAATGAACTTGCTAGAATATCCCAAAAAGATGATGAAATTCTATCTACACTTAAGTTGAGTTATGATCATCTCCCATCTCATTT